GATGTGTGTTTCCATAGCGCTCAAATGTATTTAGCACTCACAACTTCAGTACACGGGATAGCCCGTAAAATGGTCAACAATGGGTTATTTTCAGGTTAAATATCTGTATAAGATAAATTGGACTTCATTACAATTAAAACCCCTGTAAAAATGTTAACTTGCCCCTGCCTTTCCAACCACCCTCATCAGTAAAATATTCAATAAGTATCCGAGGAACTGTTAGTCTGTGGATTAACTTGTTCTGAAGGCGCCAGCAGAGAAGATAAGACTAAGGAGGTCCCAGTATCATAATATAGATGGCGTTGTCGACTAATGGACATATATACTGGTATTTCTGTTATACAAGATACTAATTGTAATTCCATTTGTTCGAAGAAAAAAGTTTACAAGACTAGAAAGACTGCAAATGAACATACACTGCACAGCGTACATGTAGGTATATAACTGTTTGTTAGCCCTTCTGAAAAAAAAACCTATACATTCAGATATTAAAATCACTGATATAACATACTGGCATTCTCGAGGACTCCACTTACCCGGCCAGATTTAACTGCAAATGCTTATATAACCGTTCATTTTTTTCTCAAAAACAACACTTTCTTGATAATAAAATGTCGATGTTGGTAAGAAAGGCTGGGTCAGGTGATTTCTACCATCTGTATCATATTTACGAGACAGCAACTTTGAGTAGCATGGGAATTTTTATCAATATTATTATTTTTTTAAAGTGCACGTCTAAAAAGCGGTGGTTGAGATATATGACAACATTGAAAAAACATAATCTAAAAGAAATATTTAAGAAAAAACACATGAAATATATTTACAAAATCCCTGGTGTAAAAACGCCTATGAAAATATTACACACCACAAATTAAAGAGCATGTTTACCATTCAAAACAGATGTTGCTAATGAACTTTAAATTCAAAATTAAACTGTGTACAAAGAAATCAATAATAATGTTTGCAAAATAAAGAATATATCCTCACGTATACCAATGAAATCGAAGTTTTACATCACTACAAGCCTACAACTGTACATATTCGTGTTCAATGTAAAGCAAATAAAACTGAAATTACAGCAGTTTTTTTCCATCAAACATTCATAATTAAGATCTAAGTCTCTGTGGGACATTAAACTGTATCTACATATACTGATCACTACAAGAGAAGTGTGCATTGTTGTCCGCAATATCATTTCCAACAATATCCCAAATTACTACCATCCACAAAAATACTAGTAGTAAGGAGTCGGTAAACCACACCACAGTTACCCCCACCACAACATATAAAAAAACAGCACATCAACAAAGCAACACATCACTTAACCTCCACTACGTTGAACTTCACATTGTAATTAAGCAACCAAAAGTGTCTCGTCAACTGGTCTGTCATAAAGACAAAGTTCACATGTATAAAATGCCCCTAGCGGATCCATGGCCAAAAGAAAAGGTGGGTGCATTTTATCCCCCTAAAGACAATATTAGGAATGTCTTGAAACAGGTCACAATCAACCCCCTAATATTTCCTTTCGGTTTTTTTTTTTTTTTTTTTTTTTTTTTTTTTGTGTGTGTGTGTGTGGGTGTGTGTGTGTGTGACTTTGGTTTTTCTTTTTTCTTTTTCTTTTCTATTTTCGTCTAAAATTTGAAGGGACAGAGAAAACTATAATTGCCTTTGATCATTTCCTTTTTGCTCAGATAGAGGCTGAATCATAGATCACAAACTGTACATAGAGAATCCTCACACTGATAGTCTATAAGGTGTCCTTCAATGTCGTTTCAATCAAACCATTTCCATCACTGTGAGTGTAGTTTGTTTCTAAATTTTGTTTTGAAAAGTGTTAAATAATCAATATTGAAGGTACAAACGTGTAGCTAACCACACTAAATGTCCTTTGTGAACAACATGACTATTTCTCCTCTTGGACAATCTGTTCCTTCTTACCAATAGGAAGACATATATTGCCGGTAATTAGGCTTATTTGGCCTTGAAGAGTTTGAACGAATTGATTTGGTTGCTGAGTTTTACTCACTCGCGCTCTCCTAGCTTGCCGACGGTAGTAATGGTCAAGGTCACAAGAGAGTAAAGTCAATTTGAGTGCTCGGATTGTCTGTCCAACTCACCACATCGATAGAAAAAAGTTCCCGTCTACATGTTTAATCATGACATTATGTGCTAGGAATATGACGTTAGCGGACCCAAAAGTAATTACTTTCGGATAATTAGAATCTTAAGCACTGCAAAATATTTACACTCGCAAAAATGAAATAGTATGTTGAAGTCAAACATTTTCCGCCCAGACATTATGGACTGTGGTCTTTAAGTTGATTTGATGCATGTTTGTTTTTACAAAAACAAACAAACAATGTGTCACCATTTGCGTACTATACAAGACACACATTTATCTTTGTTTTGATCAGGAGGAAGATTGTCTGCTAAGTCATTTCGACGAGCTCTTCTCAAAGCTTCCTTCAGCTTGTCTCGNTTTGTGTGTGTGTGTGTGTGTGTGTGTGTGTGTGTGTGTGTGTGACTTTGGTTTTTCTTTTTTCTTTTTCTTTTCTATTTTCGTCTAACATTTGAAGGGACAGAGAAAACTATAATTGCCTTTGATCATTTCCTTTTTGCTCAGATAGAGGCTGAATCATACATCACAAACTGTACATAGAGAATCCTCACACTGATAGTCTACAAGGTGTCCTTCAATATCGTTTCAATCAAACCATTTCCATCACTGTGAGTGTAGTTTGTTTCTAAATTTTGTTTTGAAAAGTGTTAAATAATAAATATTGAAGGTAGCTAACCACACTAAATGTCCTTTGTGAACAACATGACTATTTCTCCTCTAGGACAATCTGTTCCTTCTTACCAATAGGAAGACCTATATTGCCGGTAATTAGGCTTATTTGGCCTTGAAGAGTTTGAACGAATTGATTTGGTTGCTGAGTTTTACTCACTCGCGCTCTCCTAGCTTGCCGACGGTAGTAATGGTCAGGGTCACAAGAGAGTAAAGTCAATTTGAGTGCTCGAATTGTCTGTCCAACTCACCACATCGATAGAAAAAAAGTTCCCGTCTACATGTTTAATTATGACATTATGTGCTAGGAATATGACGTTAGCGGACCCAAAAGTAATTACTTTCGGACAATTAGAATCTTAAGCACTGCAAAATATTTACACTCGCAAAAATGAAATAGTATGTTGAAGTCAAACATTTTCCGCCCAGACATTATGGACTGTGGTCTTTAGGTTGATTTGATGCATGTTTGTTTTTACAAAAACAAACAAACAATGTGTCACCATTTGCGTACTATACAAGACACACATTTATCTTTGTTTTGATCAGGAGGAAGATTGTCTGCTAAGTCATTTCGACGAGCTCTTCTCAAAGCTTCCTTCAGCTTGTCTCGACGCTCTTCTTTGCTGCTAGCCCCCATTCCTTCTCTCCACTGAAACAGCATATTGCGAATCTGACCAAGTGCGTCACTGGGGAAGTTGAGTTTGAAATGATCTATCTGGGGTCTCTCCACTCCAAGATAGGCAGCTACTTCCTCCCACTCAACTCCAATTCTTCTTGAAAGGTCGCACACCAAGTCATCAGGTGGATAGACATCTGCGATATAAAAAAAAATGAAACGGTAGAATTCTTAATAATCAATCAACAATAACTGACATCATATGCACATCAATATATATATATATATATATATATATATATATATATATATATATATATATATATATATATATTGCTTTTTATCTGCAGAATCTATTCCAGTAACTAAACAGTTTGAAATTATTTTTGTTTATGCATAATAAGTGTTTGGTTATAGAGATTTAAGTTAATTCTTGAATATATATCTCAATAACTGACCTGCCCAAACCATCACATCATTCCTGCACATGTATATGTTTTCATATGATTGCTTCATTCCAGCTGTGCTGATAAACACGCGATCTGCAAGCTGTTTATGACTGTTAAGCCGAGCGTCACTGCAAACTTTATCTATGAAGGCGTACATGTCTATTTTAAGAATTAAATGAATGACACAGCAATGTCCATTAAGATCTTTAATTACTTACCGATTCTGGTGGATGGAAAGACTTTATTTTCATTATTCCTGAGCCACTTCCTGTACGGGGCGGTTTCAATAACCACTGGACAGCCAGGTGGACACGCGTCGTCACTCTCCAACATTTCAGTCTTTAAGGTTTCTGTCAACTTATTCAAGCCTTTGGGAAAACCAAAACCAATGCTGTACTTCAGGTAAGGGGAGTAGGCGCTGATAAGGCGGTCCAGCTCTTGCTTGATATAGGTTAGAACTTGGAATGCATTGTCGCTCTCCAAATCGTTGAAACCTGTTTTCAATGAGCCAACGATGAGCTGGAAGATGCCGTCTCCTTTGTTTGATAACTCCAGTATTGTGTGAGTTGATCTGTCCACCTTGAAGCATGCATAGTCGCAGTATGGATTTTGGTCGTGAGATGACCACTTCCTGTAGCAGCAGACCACCAGGCGATGAAAGAGACCAGGGGGGCAGAATCCACCATCAAACATCAGGTATAATGGAGGGATTCTCTGCAACTTTAAATAACCTTCTTGTGGACATTCGGGTATCTTCAAATAGCTTTCTGGATTTGGGTGACTTTTCAGCACACAAGGGACTAAATACTTCTTCTTTTGCTGATCGTCTTGTCCCTTCGGTAGTTCAACCAGCAGGTCAAAGCGTTGACAAATACGTAGGAGGATTTCTTTGTTTTCCTTCAGCTCGGCGTCTTGTTCCCACACACTGTCAATCAGCCGTTCGTCCAGTTCTCCTCTATCATCAAGCATCTTCCAATAACCCTTGACGTCTGGTTTAGACACTTTATGGTACTTTTCTACAGTTATTAAGGATGCAAAGGCATCGATCAGCCATTGGGGATCCAAGATCACGATATTACGAATATCAGATTCATTGAAGAAAACGAGTTCCCCAAGGTCACAGCAGAATTTCAAAAAGGACAATATCACCTCTAGGCTCTCAAGACCATAAAGGTGTCCAAATTCGAAAACACGTTCAAGGCTCAGGCACTTTTTTGATTTGCTGATCTCCTTTAGCTTCCTCTCTAACAGAACATACCTCAACGGCTGCTCTTCTTCCCAGTATGGCTGCGCCTTGGTTGTTTTCCAAATCGCATCCTTTAACTCCTTTATCCCGGCGTCCTGGTGGTCGCAGTTGTTCACAGCATAGAAGTACGGCTGCACGTGCATGTCATGTGCTGGTATGCCGTCCAGGAATTCTTGAATTTTACGGAATCTTTCTTTTGCCTCTTTCATCCTTTCCTGTACAAATATTTAAACATCAATGGAATTGATGAGTCTATGGTTTTCAGACGACTCTCTTAGTGTCGATAGATATAACATCACTTACATAACGGCACTTATCATTATGACGTTTTCCGTAGTTTTTAAACTTGTTATTTAATTAAAAATGATCGCATTACAAAATTAACGGAGCATGCCCTTAAATGATTTGCGACACTTTAAAATATATTTATCAAATTATGTAGATCCAGCACTCAATCTGTATACTACATATATGTTGTTTAAATAGTAAAAGAAAAAAACAACTTACAAAATTTACAAAATGAACTTCCAATTTGTGTATATTGGCAACTACATCATTAGTTGGAAATAATAAATATACTGACAGTCTAACGCAAACCCTTTAAGGATATTGTAACTATTTATTATCATGCAGATACAGAAAATGAGTTTTTTCTTGCATCTAATTATTGAATAAGGCATCCATGTTTGTGTCGTTAATTTGGATTAAATGTTTTTGTAAGGGAGTTATTAATTGCATATTTTCATTAAACAAACGCGTTATTTTGCTTTATCAATGGCAAAATCTTAACTAAGATTTCTGGAATATCGCTGGCAGGGTTTTGGAGTCATTGACCTCACCCGTAAGATGACATATTTGCAAATGTCAATTAATTTATTCATTTAGCTATGAAGATTTATCTATTACCCAAAATAATGTATGTTAGGCAGTAAATAAATAGTTTGAGCGAAGGGCGACAGTATCCTTCATTACTTTCTTATCAAGGACTGTGAAAAGACATATGATAAATGTATTTGAATCCCTACCTCCTCAGTTTCCCCCAATTTATCTTTGTGTGTCCCCACTAGTAAGATTTTGGGACAAATATCCACCAATCCAAGGTTTTCTCGTTTTACCATTTCAGTATGAGCATGGATTGAATCTAGCCAGAATCTAAAAAAGCCTGAAAGGTAGCACATAGACATCAGCCGCCTTATTTTTGATGAGGAAGTTAAAAAGTGCTTATTTTAAGATTAAAATTATGAAAAACACTTTTGAATTCAATGAACTATGAAATGGCATGCAACATAACATATAACTTAAAGAGTAATTGCAGTACTTTTATGTAAATTGAATGACATATATTTGAGGTAAACCTTTGTAAAATGACCTAATAAAAATTATAAGGTGAGAAACTTTTTTATCTAATTCAATCATTACAACGCACCACCAACAGTGTCTGGGACGCTATCCACTGGTCTACGTCCAGTTCTACCCACGCGCTCTACGTGGACAGGGTCATTTAAGTCCTTGGTAAGGTCAAACACCAGTAAGTAGACAGCTCGCCAGGTGAGGAAAGTTTGATGTGTCGTGTAGAAGACATACTGACCGCCAAAGTCCCAGAGTGTCAGAGTGTCCGGAACAACTGGTTCTCCTTTGCTCTTGTCAAATATTTGCCTAAATGTATTGAATTCGACGCCTTCGTCTAACACAATGTATCCACGAGACGACTCTGGTATAGGCCCTATAAAATAAAAAAAAAATATGTTTATATAGTTTGGTTCCCCTGACGTTATCTTTCTTGCTGTGTGAATGAACAGTCACGTGATAGTCCACAAATACTGAAAAAAAATGTACCAGTGCAGAGTAGAAGGTCATATTTTAGCAATCTTATACAATTTTCAAAAATATCAGTACTCATAAGCCTGTAAATCAAATACTTTATACGAAAGGAAGGACATACGTTTTCCTCTGCACTCCTTGATGCCCCTGGCAAGTGTTTCGATGTAATACTTTTCTCTAAATGACTCGTCTGCAAAATGAATTTATCAAAATAAGGTATTGTTTTTATCATTTGCCTAGAGAACACACATGTATAAACATGTCCTAACGTGCATAATGTTAAAGCATTGCGTGTTCTAGTTTTGTTCTTAAATGTTGCTTGAAACATTAATGATGTTGAGAATATATAGACATAAGCAACCGAGGGACAAGTGGAATTTAAAAAATACATTAAGTGCTAATATATTTAATATATAATGTGTTTTATTCAGTTTGGTGTAGTTAAAGGCGGAAGGTGATGTATGTTACCTTGTCTTTTGAAGGTGCTTCCTGCTGTGTGTTTCACCAGAACACAACCGGATACCTCAATACCATTCGTCACCAGATCTTCTTCAGTGAACTCTTCCCCCATCAAATTTCGACAAAGGCGTGTTTTTCCAGTTCCCAGTTGCCCAACTACTATGACGCTGGCCCTAGAAGCCCTCTGTCTCGCTAATTCACACACTGCCTTATGCACAGCTTGATAAATAGTACAAAAGCAAAGACAAACTTATGAGGCCAATTCTTTCATTGTTTTTGGTAACTAATTGCTAAAGACAACCGTGTACGTATGTCTTTGTATAAATACGCGGTAATATACGCAGTGCGCTTGCGCAAACACATTGTTCTGTGAGGGTTCAGGCTGTAGCAGAGGTCAAACGGTTATTTTTCTATTTTTCTTAGAATGGCTGCACAGGTTTTTGTAATCAAAAACTTATTTGATGAATTGAACAGGAAATGTCGGTAGTAATAATCACACTGTGTTAAATCCACTTATTTATATATGTGTGTGAGAATGACTAATTCTTATATCAAACTTAAATAATCACGTGCTAGGAAAGCGACATGTCATTGACATTGTTTTCCTTTGTGAGTAAGGTTGATTCACTGGACAGTCAATGCCTAATTTTTACAAAGCACTTAAAGAAGTCACCATCAATACGGAAGCTATGGCTATTTATGTTGGCTTGTATGGTCAAGCTGCTTTTAAGCATTTATTGAATGCGTTGCAATATTCAGTTCTATAGACAGAGGAACAATCTTCATAAAAATAAAATGCTTCCTTTTTTAATATGTGAATCAGACCTAATACTTACTTTTACGTTCAACTTTTCCTGTAAATAAATGAAGAAAAAAATCACATCCAGTTCACTTCAGAGGAATACTGCTTGCGTAAATAATAACCACGATGCATTTTAATGCATTTTAATTAAAATTTAAATAGTCCAGGATTCTGTAGGGAGAGCTATTAAACCATCAGCACATTTGAATGTATAAGAATAAGTCACGTTTTACCTCTCCAAATCTGCTAGATAGTCCAGTAAATTGGCATTTTTACATCAGATAGGAAAATGTTTACAAAATGGTCTCAATTGAGTCAAAGGCTTTTCTGATAAACAAGAAGCGTCGGATCGGATATTTTTTCAAGTCCAAAGGAGAAATAAATTTACTTCTTTACTTTTATTTATTATTTATTATTATTATTTATCATTGTAACAACAGGCTGATGATATGCGTGCCAAATTAAGACCCCCCCCCCCATTAGCTAGTTCAATGCCCAGTGGCGGGTTTATGGGATGTGTCAGAGGGGTCCTGACATCCTCTTTGATTTTGATTAAAAAAAGATAAATGGCGCCAATTGCCATCCATAACACAATTTTTTCCTGGCCCCTGAGCGTGCCCCTAACCTGACGTCACAGGGGTGAGGTTCGGCCTCGCAATTCGAAGCCTGACAATCCTTATAAAACGTACCCCCATCCCCCCATTCAAAAACATTAAGATTCGCCTTTATGAAAAAATCAGAACCTCATTCGTAATGTGCAGGGTATCCTCTGAAATGGATAACTGAGGGATATTTCTGTAAACAAAAATGATCCCATGCTGTCTTTGCACCCTATGTCACAGCGCAAACATTACAGAAATTTTAATTTCACCTATGCGCATATCCAAAAAAGGTTTTGTTAACTTTTTTATTGGCTTTACAATCAGTATTTTTTTAAATAAAATCATTTTTAAAATTGAATAAAGGACATTGGTTCATGACATGATTTTCTGAATGACGCTCTCTGGTAGAGGAGAATATATAAAGCTTTATGTTGAATACGACCACAATAAACATTTTGGAACAAATACTAGAAGCAATTACGTTTTCATACATAAGATTCATACATTGTAGAAGCTGACACGATCCATTTCTGCATGAGATTCTCGCCACAGTGCATGAAGTGCAATTAGCTTAATTGTGTGACACGCCTCCATTGTCCCCTAGCAACTCTAGGAGACGTGTCAGATAGCTGATATATTTGATATATTTGTACCCAGAAATTCTACAGAGTTGGATCGATCCAGCTAGTGGTGCGATGGATTAAACTGAATGCTCCCCAAAATTAGATTTGTTCACATCACTTTACTAACCTGGGTTAGGTTCTTCATCTCCTGCAAAAATAACAGAATGAAATATGTTACGATTTTGAATTAAATTATTCCACTACGTCTGTGTACTGATATTACAAATAAAATACCAGATATGACAAATTTGTAAAACGGCGTCGGTATTTTGAAGAGGTTATGTATACTGGTAATTTTATTAAGGCGCAAACTCTGTGTGAATCGGCCCTCAGTCATTTTAAAGCAGCAATGCCTGTTTCTATACTCCAGCTCTCTTTGAAAAGCCCCCATTTAGCTGACATATTTATCGATGCCAGGCATACTGAATTACAATGTTACATCTGCATTGTTTATAAATTCTAATATTATACTCAACATTCATCATGTACCTTTCATTTAAAAGTTATACCCTCTTGTACAATGAAGTACAACAACTCTAGACTACCTTCTAAATCATGTATGCTAATTAATACACCCTTTACCCGATAAAACCCTTTGACAAAGTACTTGAAGCAGTGAATAGAATATGACGCTGTGGACACATTCTAACCTAAATCTATCATTTCTGTAGTTTCAAACAGGTGCGTGCTGTCAGCCCTAATCTACACAACTTATCATTACAATTGTCTAGGTATTTTACATTAATTTTAACCGCAGGGGGGGAAACCTACCTAAACGAGCCACTTTTCCTTTGGGTTCATCCGGATCAGGTTGCGCTTCCGCCATTTCTCCCCTCTCATCTTACTTACATTGAAATTCTGACAGATAATGAATATGAGGATTGGATAAAGACATAACTCAGGTAATAATAGCACTTCTTAATAATGATTTGAGAAAGAATTAAAGTATGTTTACCCGAAGAAGAATTTTTTTCTAAGAAGTCAAAGTTGATATGTGGACTAGACAGAGAGGTCTGCAAATATACAGGTATTTCTTAGACAAGTGTTAATAGATCAAAAGTAAAATTCATTAAGATAATGTTAACATGAATTCATTTTGATCGAATTATCACCATCATGATAAGTCGTAAAAACAAATAATCAAACTAATTAATTTCATTTAGTTGCAATATGCCGAAGCGGACATGTAAGGGGGCATGCGATTCTCGGTGTTTCACGCAATGCTATTACCATGAAATCGCAGTTCAAGTCATTAATTTGCTGATTGAAATTAATAGCCCCCAGCTCCAGGTTAAAGTCATGGTTTGCTTACTTATGCCGTTCAGTTGAATACTATCATACAGCATACCTTAATCACTTTCCCTGTGTATCCGTGTCCCCATGAATCAGTACATGCTTGTTCTCTGATGTCTAGGTATACAGGATGGAGTATGTGAACCATGCTATACTCTCACACCGCATGGAAATAATCCCTGAACATTCAGTTTAGTAAACGCTTGGATAGATCTGAATTTGAAATGTTTACATATTGGTAATGGTGGGTAACCTGCCAATGCCCCAATCACAGGGCCCTGCAATTTTTTTTTCCTGTAAACATTTATTACAGAAATGTTCTTAAGGGCTAAAGCAGTTAAATCAACTTCTTTGCTTCTTCCGAGATTTCCTTTTTTAATGGGCCACAAATAGGGAAATACATGTAGCAAACATCCAAAAGTCTACATTTATACTTCATAGTCAAATAGGTTTCTTTATATCTATAACATAAACTGAAGGAGACATACGTTGCACCCCAAGCTCAGATATATAACGTGAAAAAGAGGGGAGAAAAGAATGGAGAGATAAAGACCGTGAATCATAAAAGCTAGGTGTGTTTGGAACACATACCCTCTTCATCTGGTGCCCTAGCTCTTCACTTTCCATACTGGGTGTATGGTTATCTGCCCCAGTTTTTAACTCATTTTAGAGTGCTTTTCTCTGCCTGATCCTTGAATCATTATTATTATTATTGTTTAACCTTACTTAATTCCTAATGTGGGGATCTGTTTGACAAACACCCTTTGCTTCCTTGATTGTTGCCATGAAAAGATGCATAACTCTCCGTTATCAATAAATTACACTAGTTTGACTGACATATCTAAACCCCTGCTGTGTCACCTTATCAGTGGCCTCGACCCCAAGACAAACAGAAATATATAGAGATATTAAACCTGAAACGAATGGTAAGACATCCCACTAGCATCAAATGTATGGGAGGTTGAGTAACATGTTAAACGTTGAAACAAAACTATGAAACGACCACTTGAGAAATATACGTGCTTATGCCCCGAGTCCAGCTGGACAGAAGAATTTAAGCCGAGGGTAGTTCTTCATTTTAAGTCCTGATAGTCATCGTTGACTAGGGATATCCAGTAGTGGTCTACTGGAAACTAAATTTTTATTACAAGTAAGACATGGTTATAGTTCAGGTCGAAATTTGGTATATCTTCGTGGGATTTGCTTTATTTAATCCGGTGTAAAAGGAATGGAAATCCGCTAGGAATTGAAGTCATTACTTTGTACAGGTGACATTAATCCTGATACTTAAACACACTTTAACCTGTACTAATCATCTGGGAGTCCGGACTTCCATTCCTAGGGCTTGCATTCCTGTTACACCGGGTCAACTTGTTTGACTTAAGTCACATTAATAAATAGGAACCTGACCTATAATAATTACCTGACGTATAAATATCCCGCGTACACACCTGAGCGTGACACATTTCTTTCTTAGATAGGTGTGAAAGAGAAAATATATTTCTCTTCATTAGCTCGAGTTCATGGAAGTTAACTTACCTGTTATTGGTTGCAGATGTCCATGGCCGGGAGAACAGGTCTAATGTAGCGTTGGTTTGGAGGTGTGGACCTGAGTCAATGGCGTTATCTGGTCTTCCTGGCCTCAAAGTGACGGTACAATGTAACACGTGATGTGTGGTTAAATAAACAGTGATAAGGGCTACTCTATCCCATCTGTGAGTCACAAGGAATCCTAAAATTGGTTGTCATTTCACGGATTGCAGTAGAGGTGACACTTTCTATTCGGTATGGTAGGATACAGTTATATGTGCAAAACACAAAAAAGGGACATACTTGTAGAAGATGCACCATACTACAGGTAGAACCTGGCGAAGTTGTGATGAAAAAGTAACAACACTG